ATTAAAAATTTATAGATTTTTTATTAAAAATGTACGAAAATTTTAATTTCTATGAAAAATCTATTATAATTAAAAATTGCTAATTAAATTTCTATTAAAAATATACTAAAATTTAAATATCTACCAAAAAACTAATATAATTAAAAATTTCTAATTAAATTTCCATCAATAATGTACTCAAATTTGTATTTCTATTAAAAATCTATTATAATTCAAATTTAGAATAAGAATTCATTTCTTTCATTATTACTAAAATGAATAAATTACTAGCAAAAAGAATTAATAAAATAAAGAAGTTGACATCAAATAAACTATCTAAATAAGCAAATAAATGTTCCCATCATTGTTATTCCACAAGTGGAATCACAATGTCATAAATTCTGTCATAAATCTATATTCTGGCTATAAATTTATTGCCGAAGGGTTGACATTTTATTAGAAGAATCTTTATCGGCTCCGCCAGCAGGAAAAAAAAGACGATGAGAAGTTAGGGTAGTGGGTTATCGTGGCTCGAGCGACGTCCGAAGTGCCCGGCTCTTCAGTTTCCTAACATTGACGAGGGTTGTTTGCATTCTCCGTTCTCGAGTTTCAATAAGAATTATACGGTTGTTAATCTCTGAAACTTACGAGCGCATATTTTGGCCAGTTTATCAACCGGACGAAACAAGAGCGCGGAAAATATGAACGAACCAATCTGCAGCTTAATTAGAAAGCATTAATATGGATAAACTCGGCGGTTCGCTCCCACGGATTTGCATATTGGCCAGTTGCCGATGAAGACACCCTCGGATTTCGAGCCGTTTTCCCTTCCTTTTCGACGAGCCCCGGATTTGCCTTAAGACCCCGCGGATTATGGACCAGGAACCCGGGATTTCTGGATACACATATTGCCTGCCAATGAGAACATTGAGGTGCAAAGACGACCGTTTCGTCGCCAAAATCGTTGTCGATCGGAGGTACCATTGGATTTCGATTATTGTGAACTGATCACAGCTTTCGGGCAGAAGGGGACCGGATTGTCGGTCCTTTTGATCAACGGGACCAGCTAACCGTGAAAGATTCCTTATTGTGGCCTTCCATCTTGATTACCGAATCCTCATAATACCAGGATTACTCTAATATAGGTTGTTCCAAAAGTTTGTCTCGCAATCATTTGCTGAACTTTGACGAATCTGACTCGTGATGGAGATTTATAGTAATGACTTGCAACGCACTGTTCTATTACGGATCTATCAGTTTCTTAATTTCATTACTTTTTTTCTTTGTCTTGAGTTTAAGGATCACATCAGCAGCTGTCTCATTAGTGACAGATTTGATTTATTCGAATTGTTTCGAATAAATATTTATCTAACTTAATTATTCGAATAAATTCTTTTTAATCGAATATTTCATTCGAATAACAATTATTCATTATTCGTAACAAATTATTCTATCTAATTATTCGAACCATTCTATCTAATTATTCGAACCATTCTTCATTTATTATTCGAATAAATTATTCGAAGAGAGATTGAAAAATTATTCGAATAAGAATACGAATAATCGTCGACCGTTCTTTTTTAAATGGTTATTTAAAACGTATATATTAATATAACAAAATAATAAGGCATCCAAACATTTTTGGGAATGAACATCTATTTGTACATACACATAAATGAAAAATTATTCTCTGTGGTAAACTTTCATAGAGGTTTTTTATATAACTTTGATCCGCAGTCTGATCGTAGTACAAGATATTGTCATTTCTTAATGACGAATATACTCGTCAAAAACAGCTAACTGGTTGAAAAGGATATAGGACTTTGATTTTTTCATTCAATTATATGTTTTATAGAAGCGTTGCATCCGAACATAATCTGAAGAAAATCAAACAATTACTACATAAACCGCGGATCTTCATGCAAAATAAAAATTATCTTCGACAATTGCAACAAAAAGGAGCCACATAGAAATTTATTTCTTTTATTAAATGAGTTGAGAATAAAACATAGACGTCCTTAAGTTCTTTTAATATTTCTATCGTTTTCAATTTTAATTACCCATTTTTGCCCTAAATGCATCAAATCCGCACTCTAAATAATTACAGTTATTTATACACTTTTAAAAGAGATTGTAACAGTTAACCGGTGAAACGTTTTTAGCGTGTCGCAGTTCATGCACTCGTTTTTCTCATAAATGAATAAAATCCACAGTTTATTAATAACGCATCGTTTCCTACTGCATACGAATACATTTTTCAAATTTTCAAGTTATTGTAATGTATTCTGACATCTCTTACGTAAAATGTACAATACAAGCTTGAATCCGTAACATTTCTGACCCGTTTCTGTATGACAATTTATTTCCTTCGCCAATGCCTCGAATAATGTCGTATTCTTTTTATAAATGTCGTAATGAACGTCGTCCTGATTAATTTATAGCTGAACCTGATTGAAAGATGCATTTTCAACGGAATCTCAACTGCAGCCAATTTCTCTCAAAGCCGCCTAGTACAATGATTCAAAGGGGATCAGAATTATACTTATTAAAGCTCGCGCAGCCACTGCGAACACCTGAGACAGCAGCCATGCCGATATCTCAAGAAAATCGATTGTTCCAGATTCTCTCGATCGGCCGAT